TATATATATTTTTAAGGGGTGGGGGGTTATCAGGAAGAGGGGTGTTCAGTTGTCTTATTTGTTTTTGTTGAGACAGAGTCTCACTCTGTGCCCTGGGTAGAGTGCAGTGGCGTCATTGTAGCTCACTGCAACCTCCAACTCTTGAGCTCAAGCAATCCTTCTGCCTCAGCCTCCCAGGCAGCTGGGACTACAGGCACGTGCTGCAATGCCTGGCTGTTTTTTTTTTCCTCTTTGTTTTTGGTAGAGACGGGGTCTCACTCTTGCTTAGGCTGGTCTCAAACTCCTGAGCTCAAGCAATCCTCTGCCTCAGCCTCTCAGAGTGCTAGGATTATAGGCACAAGCCACCTCACGTGGCCAATTTTAATTATATTTAAACATATTCTTCCAGCAGTTAGAATAAAAACTTGAAGTGATATATTTGGGACCCAAAGGGAGGGATGAGCCAACTGAGGAAGCAGGCGTGGATGGAGACAGGCTGAGGGGCCAACAGGTCTTAGGGATGGGGAAGAAAATAGAGTTTATCACAGTTCTCTCTAATCTGGAAAGCTACTCCTTCTGTGTGGACTTTCAATGTCACCTCTGTCACAGGTCCACAAGTTACCTCCCTCTCCTCCCCCACTTTCCTGCACCTCCAAACATTCTCAGCTAATCTTTCTGTCCCTGTTGAACCACTCAAATCCTTTTTGGGATAAGAATATACAAAATTGTATTAAGCCATCTTCCTTTTGCTGTTAAGTACAGACAGTTGTGGCGACAGCTACAGCCACCACTCCTCTCTTCATGTACCTTAACACCTCGTCTCAACCACCCTGGCAAAATATACAAAGTCTGGGAGGAAATGTGTGGTGATAAGCATCTTTGGAGGGTCTCAGGGCATTGGCAGAGCAGAAGCGATGCACGGCAGGAGGCAGGCCATGCTCTGAATGCAGAGTGAGAGAGAATGGGACAAGAAGTTGGGTAGTTTAGGAAGAGAGGCTTTGGAACTGTCCTAGAAAAAAAAAACAACTCTAGATATTTAGTGAATGTTTCTTGTGATATAAAAAGCATACAAAATTTGGCAAATACAAATGTTCATTTGTCATACCCAACCAAGAGCTATTAACTTTCATGCAAATCTGAGAATACATAGTAACTAGATTCTTTTTTTTTTTTTTTTTTTTTGAGACAGAGTCTCACTTTGTTGCCCAGGCTAGAGTGAGTGCCGTGGCGTCAGCCTGGCTCACAGCAACCTCAATCTCCGGGGCTCAGCGATCCTACTGCCTCAGCCTCCCGAGTAGCTGGGACTACAGGCATGCACCACCATGCCCAGCTAATTTTTTGTATATATATTTTTAGTTGGTCAATTAATTTCTTTCTATTTTGGTAGAGATAGTGGTCTCGCTCAGGCTGGTTTTGAACTCCTGACCTTGAGCAATCCGCCCGCCTCGGCCTCCCAAGAGCTAGGATTACAGGCGTGAGCCACAGCGCCCGGCCGCGGCTAGATTCTTAATAAATGCTGAAATTTATTAGCTGTCAGCCAGGCACTAACCTTATTTATGCACACAGCTATGTGGCTATGCACGTGTGTATGTATTTCTTTTCTTTTCATTTATTTATTTATTTATTTGTTTGTTTATTTATTTATTTATTTATTTTTTGAGACAGAGTCTCACTTTGTTGCCCAGGTTAGAGTGAGTACCGTGGCGTCAGCCTAGCTCACAGCAACCTCGAACTCCTGCTCAAGCAATCCTGCTGCCTCAACCTCCCAAGTAGCTGGGACTACAGGCATGCGCCACCATGGCTGGCTATTTTTTTCTATATATATTAGTTGGCCAATTAATTTCTTTCTATTTTTAGTAGAGATGGGGTCTCGCTCTTGCTTAGGCTGGTTTTGAACTCCTGACTTTGAGCAATCTGCCTGCCTCGGCCTCCCAGAATGGTAGGATTACAGGCGTGAGCCACCTCGCCTGGCCTATGTATTTCTTTTAAAGGTGCTGCAGTTGGCATTTTGTTTTTTTGCACATCTGTCTCAGATCTAATTATGTCACTAGCTTTTACCCAGGGCTCCACTTTTTTGGAGGCTGGCAGGCCTGGGCTGACATGCTTTCCTGTGCGCCTTTCCTCTCTGGGCAGAGGGCCTGAGCGTGGGCAGTTTGCATGCGCTACTGGCCGTTTCCACCACCTCTCTCACCTACCCCAGGGCTGAGCTTTGCTGAGACACAAAATTACTTTTTATTAACATGTATTTGAAGACGGGCTGAGAGTGGGTGAAGGCCCTGGCTTGCTGACTGGACAGCCATCGGTGGTTACCCGGTAGCCCTGGTTACCACGTGGGGCCTGCTGGCGTCTGTACTCATGCTGCCAGATGTGGAGGTCAGCCTGGCACTGCCTCCCTAAGGTACCAATGTTCCACCTTCCAGTTATGTCTCTGCAACTGCACCCATCCTGTCAACCCTCTCTCTCTTGCCCCAGACTCTACTTTCCAGTATAAACAAAGTCTCTACTGTCAACCCCTTTGGGAACACTCTACCTCCTTCTGCCCTGAGCATATGACTTATCTCCTCCTACCACTGACCTGGGGTTAGGATTGTGGGCAGGGAGGGGCTGGCTTTCTTGTTCCCCATTACTGCCTCTGAACCAAATCCACATGCCTCGGGCTTTACCCCTTTTGTATTATACCCCTTTTGTACTTTACCCCTTTTGTTACCCCTAATGTACTCCTTTTCATAATGGGAGATTGTCTTGTTAGTCTCTGGTGTGTCACTAACCAGATCCATAAAAGAAACCAAAATATTCCAAGTAAACCAAAAAAGTAGAAGACATAAGTCCAATTCATATAGTAGCAAGTTATTCCAGAAAGAGGAAGAGATATTACTGCCCCAAGCTGTGCTCCTCTCCTAGTCCCTCCAGTGCTCTGAGTGCAATGAGAGGTCCAACTCCTAAATCTGCAGCAATGGGAGTGAGCAGGGTCAAGACAGCAGTGCCAAGGATCCCAAATCCTAGCAGCAGTTTCCCCCCAATTCTGCTGGCAATATATCCTCCAGGAATTTATGTGATGATGTAGCCATAAAAAAAAGAACCGAGAATCCATCCTTGAGCTTCTGGATCCCATGGGTACTTTGTACCCGTTTGATTATGAGGAACTTTTATGGGAGCAGAATGCTCTGGACACTCCTTGGAAGTTTTATTATCTGCTAAAGTTGTGTTTGAATCTACCATATCCACTAATGAAACACTCAGATTCACATGTAATGCATAGACAACGAAGAAACCCCAAAATGCCCAAATTGCTAAGTTGTAAAGAGCAGAGCAGCACACTGGAGCAGCTTGGCACGCAGGGCGCCCCGCAGAAGGGGCGTGCTGTCTGTGCCCTCCTCGCCATCATTCACGGCCTGCCCGACCGGGGACCTCATGACGCCCACAGGGAGCAGGTGCGCTTGCTATCCGGCCAAGAGGAGCGCCCGGGCTCCAGTCTTTATCCATATCTTTACTCTAGGCCTGCAAGTGTGCTCATACTTTTCCCACCTGAAAATCAAACCAAACATAAAACCCCTGCTGCCGTCCTATCTCCTTCCATTCACAGGCAAGCTTCCTACCAAACTAAGCCTGAATCAACTCTCTTCATTGTTTTCCCTCCCATTCCATCCCAACCATTATAATCTGGCTTCTGCCCTCATCACTCCACAATGAAGTGATGAGTCACCAACTGAGGCCCTTGTGGACAAAACAAATCCACACTTCCCTTCCTCATTTTAACTGCCCTCCCTGAGCTCTTTGATTCTGCTGGTTGTTTTTCCTCTCTGAGCTTCCCCTGTAAGCCTCTCCTCTTTGCTATCACATCTCAGGTAGCTCCAGAAGCCTTTTACAATGCCAATCTGATTTTTCTCTGGGCTATCTTGGCATACTACACATCACATAAAAATACCATTCACCACACCTCACTGTAATCAGTTAGCTTGCCTCTCTTCCCCAGTAGACTGGGTACTTTATGAGGGCAGGTCTCAGTCTATTTGGTTTGCTGTCCCCAGTATCTAGCACAGTCTTTCTAAATGAATAAAGAAAAAGTTATGGATTGTGCAAGTTTTAAAGTGTAAGCAGTAGGCCATTTAACCTGGAAGACTTTTAATATTTAAACAGCAGGCCATTTCATTGCGTCATTTCGCATACTAACTGTGCATGGAGTTCCTGATGGCGAAAGCAATGTTGCTGGCTCATTTGCCAGTAGGAAATCTGGGCATTTAGGAGTGCATCTCTAGGAGATAGCACCGGCCCACGCACTGATCTTAAGCTGCCTGTCATCTGCAGAACCCACTAGTTCAGCGTGCTTCTCCTGGCCTTGAACTACCCGCTCACCTGTAGCCACTGAGAGGTGGGCAGATAGACATTTATGGCATACGATCTTTAGGTTAGGGAGGGTATGGGGTATGCTGGCCTAGGCGGGTCTATTTTTTGTGTGCGTGCATGGGTGGGGGAAGGAGGAAGGAGGCGATGTGTGCATCACTTCTACAGAGACACCTTTCCAGACCGTCGTGACGAGGTGACAGTGACGGTAGGTATCTCCCCGTCTCCACCGCACTGATCATAACTTTACTTGCATTCGTGTGATTAATGCCTGCCTCCCTCGCTACACTGTAAGCTGCACGAGGTCAGGAACCAACGCGCCCAGGCTCACTCGCATAATTCCCCTTCCCAGGAGGATGCCGGAGGCATACCAGGTATTCCACAAACATTTCCTCGGCAAGCGCTTCTGGGCGGGTCTGGACAGACAGACAGGCAAAGGGCCAGTCTCGGGGCTCGGGTGCGGGGAGCCCAGGTGGCACCAGCGCCTCGCCCACGGAGGGCCGGGCCGGGCGGGAAGCGGCGCGCCGCGCGCGGCCGGGCGCCGTCGCGGGAACGGTTCTCGGCTCGCGTGGGCGCTGCCCGGGCGGGGACAGCGGGGAGGAGGAGGCGACGCGAGGTGGCGGCCGGGCCAATGAGCGCCGGCCGGGCGCGGCTCTTGGCAGCGGCTCGGGCGCGCGCGGGGCTGGGCGTGCCGCGGGTGACGCGCAGGGCCGGGCGGGCCAATGGGCGTAGGGTGGCGGGCGGGCCCGCAGGCCCCGGGCTTCGGGACGCGGACGGGCGGCCGGCCGGACAGACTGACGTGCGGCCGCGTCGCGGGAGGCGAATGGCGGGGATGGCGCTGGCGCAGGCCTGGAAGCAGATGTCGTGGTTCTACTACCAGTACCTGCTGGTCACGGCGCTCTACATGCTGGAGCCCTGGGAGCGGACTGTGTTCAGTATCCTGCCTGGGGCGCGGGCCGCGGGCCGCGGGCCTGGGCCGGAGGGCGGAGAGGCGGTCCCGGGACCCGCGGCGGACTCGCCCCTCCGCGGCGGGCGCGGGAGCCGCGGGCTGGGGGCTGCGGGGCTCTGGGCGAGGCCCGCCGCGTGGTTAGGAGGGAGGCGGGAGGCGAGAACTCTTGGGGCCCAGGGTCGCCCCTGGTCACTCGACCCAAGGTGGAAGCGTCTTTATTTCTGGAGGAAACCCCCGGGGCGCTGTCTCCCGCCTGCCGTCGCCCGCACTCCGGCCGCGCCTGCCCGTGGTTCAGCCCCGCGTCCGGTGCTCGGCGGGGACCGTGTTAGTGGAGCAGATGGCTCCCGCCTTGGACGCCTCCGACCTTTAACTGTTCCTGATTTACTTGGCTTTGGTTCTTACGAGAGTTCTAACCAGTTTACCGGTTTTTAAAACCAGGTTGTGAATTTGTGGCCACGACACCCCGGTACAGTTTTGGAAGGCAGTTTTATTGTGCCTTTTTTGTCTTCAAGATGGGTAGTTTTAGAAGTTTATTTATTACTTCGCACTATCCACAGAAGTCGTGCCGGAAAGGGAATTTGTGGTTAGTTGTTGGTAGGGTTTGAAACTGTTTTGGTGGCTAGTTAATAAATTCTTGTTAATGACTACTGAGTGGTTACTGCAAGCAGAGCAATTGTGCTGAGCGCTTTGCCTGATTCTAACTTTCACTACCCCAGTTACTAACTCAGGGATGCGAAGATAGGCTCCCCGAAGTCTGTGATGTTTCTTGTGTCCAGTTGTTTATGCTGATATTTCTGATGGTATTATTTTTGCAAAATAAATACTAGAATGAGATGTGACTTTTAAAAAAAACCCGGGGCCAATACGAAACAGGTATTTCACATAACATGTTTAGTTCATCCAGGCTCTTTCCTTTTCGGTGTGGGTTAGTTGGAGTAGCTTACTACAGAACAACTTTGCATACGCATTGTTGCATTCCAGTTAATGACTGAGATAATTTCATTCCGAGTCTTCTCAGATGTGTTTGTTTGTGTTGGAATAGCATAAGGTTGTAATCAAACCTAAATCTTTTGTTTCAGCACTTTTGAGGAATTTTAGCTGCTTATAAAGCAACTTATTTGTTTATTACTGTTGACATTTCTTTCCAAATCTGGAATTTAAGGACTAGAATGCCTAGTTTGGATTTAGACTCCAAATATATAGTCTATTCTGATTTCTTGCACCATTTATTTGTGGCTACAGTTTAATCTCACTCTGGTTTCTGTAGGTTAGGGCTCACAAGGTCATGCCTTGTAAAGTGTATGCTTAAATGCATACTTAATTGAATTTTTTCAACAGAAGCACATATATCTTGACTCACTTAGAACATCCGAAAGTTAATTTAAACAATGTTGGGCTAAATTGAAACTCTTTAAATCCAAGGTCGAATATAGAGCTCACTATTAGAACCTAGTATAGATTTTACATTTAAAAGCTTTTGTTGGCATGTGGATAAGTGCTACAGTGTCAATAGTGTTAAGATTTTTCCGTATTATGTTGCAGTAGTAATAGTGTCCTATAAATACCCATGTAATGGCGTATTGGGGGAATGGAGAAATAAACTATGAAGTGAATTGTAGTGTCTTAGATTTTTGCCTTTGATGTTTTTGACTTCTCCTTGGTTTATGTGCCCAAGTGATTTCAAAAATGTTTTAAGCTAGTGAGAACTGCAACCAACTGGCATTTGGTGGTATAGAACCTTATGATTTTAAACCTAAGATTTTTTTTTAAAAAAAATCTCATTTAGAAGTTCACATTGTTGAGTTAACCCAGGGTAGAAGTGCAATCCTTTGACATAAACCAATCTTAAATTTCTATTGGCTGTTGTATGTATATTATTCCATCTCATCCTCTAGTGTTATTTAAAACTATTTAACTGTCTTGTAGCTTGGAACATCCATTTGAAATTGAATACTCATTCTAGCTTGGAGGAAAGAACTGAGTGAGAATGCTGGATTTTTTCCCCTACTTGTTAGGAGCCTTACTGTGAAGTAGCTTGAATTTCATAAATTCATTAATGTTTGGTAAGCTTCACTCAGAACTACTTTGTGGCCAGTTATGTGGTTTTGGAAAGAGGCATACTTTCCATAGCTTAATATTTACATTGAACATAAGCATGAGTGCTAGAAACCTAAAATTTATTGTGAGAGAAATTTGCCTCTGTGTGTGAAAATTGGTCTTTGAGTTAGAAGTACTGTACAGAGGAAGATCTAGATTAATCTTTAATTTCTTAAAAGAAGATAAATGTATTAGTGTACATTTCCCTGCTATAAGTCCTTAAAAAATTTTAAGTTGTTGTTTTAGGGAAAACTGATAGCCTGCTGTAACTATTTCTGCACCCTTGAGTATCCATATGTTTAGAAATTATTTGCTTCTCTATTTCTTCCCAAATCAAATAGCTAGAAGTTAGTTAAAAGCTGTTGTAAATTGAAAGTCAATCTCAATTGTATATAAGTGTTTTTGAATTTATCTAAGTAAGGAAATTATGATTTATAAAAGGAATTTAAGATGTTTTTAAGGAAATGTATCTATGTGTCAAATCAGACACATTACAAATAGTTCTTCAGAAAGTAAGATTTGTAAATGGGTTTTGTAAATCCTTCCATGCTAGGGCCTTTTAACATCTGCTTTCTGATATCACATTTGAAATGATAGGTTAGCTTTTGGTTTGTCAACCAATATTTGAACTTTTTCCATGTTTAGACATGGTTTCTATCTTATAAAGAAATAGGACACGGTATCTGCCTTGAGATAGAAGGTAACAATAAAAAGAATCTTCTAAGTGCTAATTACCGTTACAGTGTATACTGAATAAGGAGACCTACCACAGACTGAGAACCACTGACTTCATCTCAGAAGGGGATGTTTTTAACATGTTTCAAAGGTTTTGTAACCAGTGAGATAGGCCCTGTAGTGCCTCATTGGAAGAACATTGTAACTGTGCCTATTGGGAAAAGGTAGAAAAAATAGTTTGTTAAAATAATTTGGATCAGAAGTATGTTATTTAACCTAAGTTATTAATTAAAAAATAAAGTCACTGGGTTATATTTGCCATCTCTCTGCTGCTGCTTATGTTTCCATGGCATTTTATTTTATTTTAAGCAAAATGTGGGCAGTTTTTTGATTTATGTTAGGAACTAGACTCCTGCTGACAACCCCATGTTTCTTCAAAAATTTTTTTTCCTCCTTTAAACCACAGTGCTGGGCACACAGATCATGCTTTAGAAACATTTGTTTATAAGTTGATTTGTTATTTTACAGCAATTTCAGAAGTATTTGGGAGTGGGAAAAGAGACCTGATTTCAAACCAGTTTTAGAGTAGCTTTGGAGCTTGGCTGTTTCTGATGAAGAGAATTCATGCTCAGAGAAAAATTCAAATTTAAAGAAGTAGAAAATGCTATAGATTGGAAGAACTTCTTTGATTTATCTTCGAGCCATTAACAAAATTTACATTCCTCCGTCTACTCATTTGTAAAATATGTATGTTTGTTGAATTCTGTATCCCACATGTATTATGTACCTTCTAGTTGCCAGATACTATTCTAGATGTTGGGGCTAGAAATGTGAATAAAACAGATAAACATATTTCTTCTAATGCCACTAGATAAATAAATAAAATATATAGATTATTAGACTGTTATAACTGTTATAGATAAAAATAAAACAAAAGAGGATGAGAAGTAAGGAAGGCGGACATTTGGAAATATTTAAGCAGGGAAAGAATTCTAGAAGATTCCAGGCCAAAGGCACATTAAGTGCAAATGTCCTGAGGCATGAGCAAGTCTGGCTTGTTTCCAGAAAGGCAGAGAGGTCCCTGTGGCTGGAGCCAAGTGAAGGGGGCGTGAATAGTAGGAAAGGTCAGATAATGCAGGGCCTCTAGGCTAAGATTTGAGGAGATAAAGGGAGGTGCACAGACCTTTTAAATAGATTCACTGGTTAAAATCTAGCAACAGTTTTCTCACTGATTTAATAAAGTGGGAAAGTGAGTATTGTTTTCTCCTTCGGACTTCAAGCTAGTTTCATTTCAAATGGAAAAAAAAATATGACCTATGTACAGTTTTTTCTCATTTTTTATATGCTGTCCTGAGTTCTGTACTGTTTCCCAGAAGATGAAATTCATTTCTTCCTTTAAGGAAATTAGAGACTAGTTTCAGAAAAAATTAGCATTTATACATGTTCTCAGATGGATCCTCCTGTGTTGTTTCAGCTGAGGGAGTTGGGCAGCAGGTGCTTTGGGATGCAGGGCAGGAAGAGCACGGTGGGCTGGAGAGTCAGAGAACTTTCCTGGAGGTATTTGAGCGCTGTTTGCCCCTCCCCCATAGGGGAGAAGGTGCGGAGGTGTCTGAAGGCGAGTACTACAGTGTGAATGGCTGGAACCGGCATTCTTTAAGGCAGAATAGGTGGGAAGTAAAGTTGAAAAAGTAGATTGGGGCCATTCATTAATTCAACAAATACTTTGCAAATTCCCCTTATGCCCAAGCTTTTTAAAAAAAAACAAGAAACACTGTGTGTATATCTTGTGCCAGATGCTGCCATTAGTGCTTGTGGTATATTAGTGAGCAAAAGAGAGAAAGATCCCTGCCCTTAATGGAACTTTCATAGTAAGTAAGTTATGTAGTTATTGTATGTTAGGTGGTAAGCATTATGGAAAACAGAAAAGTAGACCAGGGCTGGGGGATCAGAAATGCAGGGTGGGATGGAGTTGCTGGTTTTTTAAAAAGAGACTATCAGGAGAGGCTTCCGGGAGAAAGGAGTATTTGAACAAAAACATAAAGGTCGTGAGGAAGTTAGCAGGAGGGAGGGGCATTGTTGGAATAACTAGTGCAAAGTCCCCTAGTCAGAAGCCTGTCCCAGTGTGTGTGAGGACTGTCACTGAGGTGGGTGCGGCTGGCGCAGAGTGAGCTTGGGCGAGAGTGGTGGACAGTGAGGTCGGACAGTAGAGAGTCG